TTGCGCCCCCCCCCCCCCCCCTTGTGACTGAACAAAAAACACATCAATAATCAGTACATGTAAGGAGCTCTGTGAAATCTGGTTGCAGAGGATTACATAGAGCTCAGATAAAGGTAGAAGATATCAGGAAGTGTGTATACGTGTGCTTGTGCGGGGCAGAGACAAGGAGAGTGTGACCTCACTGAGGACTGTGGGACTGACAAACTTGGTTAGATCTTTCTGTAATGTGCTGCATAATCTGTTGGAACCATCCAAATATATCTGAAATGAATAATATAGGCACATGAATAAAGCCGTTTCTGTCAATTTAAAGTGCTAGGTTTATTTATGTTTTTTTTTCCTGTTTACATATCAGATTTAGCAGGCACACAGTATTGTTTATATGTATATGAGCACTTAAGGCTATTACAGGCTTATTATGATTAGCTGGGATTATTTTTGTAATAGCGGGTATGAAAATGTTCCCAGTTTAAAAGTTCAGCAGTACAAAATATTGTCTCGCTGCCATGGTAACTCATTATGAATGCCATCCAAAAATGCTGAAAAGAAGCAAAAGCAATCTCTCACAATCTCTGCTAGGCTCTGTAGTCCTGCCAAATAACAGGGTCCTATGTGTTATACAATTCACACAAAAGCTTTGCTTTATCTTCTTTTTCAGTATTAAGGAAGAACTCCTAGGGGTCTGCTCCCAGTTCTGGCGTGCTTCTGTTCCCTCCCTAGCTGACTTATTCAGCATATATGCTACAAAGCAGAACCCAGGGAGGGAAGCAAGCGCTGAGAACCTAGGTCAGATAATCTTCTTCAAAAGGTTAGCAGAGGTAAGAAAATCAGAACTAAGCCCTAGAGATCACAGCGAGGTCTGGTTGGCTAAGTCACCACTAGCTTATACATCTTCAAAATTCCATTATTGAAATCTCCCTGCCATAGTTCCTAACTCTGATCTCGCACACATTTTTACATCTTCAGGACCCACATCCAGTCACTGTCCAAATCTTACCATCTTCACAATGATAACATTTTCAAAATAAGCTACTTAAGCAATAACACCACCAAGATACTTATTCACCGATATGCCATCTTTCGCCTTGAATACTGCAACTCCATCTTTGTTGGCCTAAGTCTACACCAGCTATCCCCCTGCAGTTTTTCATGAATGCTGCTCCCATTAACCTTACCAACCACTCAGTGTCCACTGCCGCTCTCTACCAATCCCTCCACTTGCTTCCGCTAGCCAACAAATTCAAAATACTTACAAAGCAAAGACTTCCACAGCTCTGCCCCCAGCTACATTAGCAGCCTCATCTCAAAATATCACCCAAACCATCCACTGCGTTCTACCCAAAACCTCCTATTCTCAATTTCCCTTGTCGCCTCCTCCTATGCTCGCCTCTAGGACTTTTCTAGAGCCTCTCCCATCCTCTTGAACTTCCTACCTAAATCTCTCCAGCTGTCTCCTCTGTCCATCTTTAGGCAATCCCTGAAAACTCATCTCTTCAGGAAAGGCTACCCCAAATCTACCTAAAAACTGAACTTTTACTGTCTCCATCAACTCATCCCCAAAGTGAGAACTTTTTCAATCACTTGCCCCCTCCCTTTTGGGCTGTAAGCTCTAATGCGCAAGGCCCTCCTAACTCTTCTCTTGCACTGCATTGTAAATATATTGTCTTTAATTTTGTAAAGCACAAGAATCTACTAAAATGCAATATCAGTTTTGGGTGGGCTGGCTCGAAGTAATAAAATGTGTACTTTAACAAAAACACCAAACTGTTTTGTAATATTGACACTAAAAGCTGAACTGTGCAAAAAAAATACCTGTTGAGTCTTCCAGAAATCTAGTGAGCTGATAACTTCCTGTGGTCTCTGCCTGTGCTGCATTCTTACAAGTTACCTTACTCCCAGTTATTTCTTGGGACTAGAGAACCCCTCACAACTATGAGTGAGTGAGCGTTTTCACACTATATGATGTTGACAGTTTTAATGTTTTTTTTCCTCGTAGGCTTAAATAGGAAATGGCATAAGATAGTGAAATACAGCCTTTCACAAACCTAAGATTGATGGCAATTTTACAGAAGGGGGAAACAATCAATTAAGTGGTATACAGGAGTCTAGAAAATGTTCTCTTCAGTTCTGTAGCAAAATACCCTACTGAAGTTCCTCTTTATGAAGACTCCCTCCACCATCACAGAAGTCACATTGGTTATGGTCTCAAAAAGATCAGACATAGGTCCCATACCAATTAACATTTGCTACTGTGCTCATGGCTTTCTAAAAACCTCTGCTTTAAGTGTTCCTGAATGCAGTTTGGGAAGTTATAGTACAAACATCACACAATACATTAGTATGGTTCCTTAGTGGCTGCCAAGAGTCCATGTTTTCTAGTTTTCCTCACAAATTCACAAGTACAATAATTCGTGTATGTCACTGTTTCCAATTAACAGCAGCCGTGCTCCAAATTGGAGGTATTTAAATTCGACCTGTTGGCGTCCATTGAGGCCTGGAGTTGAGAAGCATTGTTATATATCATGAAATAGATTCAATTATAGCTTTTGAATAATACGGTAGAGATGGTGGTAAACTCTGTTGCCATTATGCAGCACTTTTACTGGACAGTACTGATGTGCGTGGGCTTTGCAACAATGTGTTGTGGCTGGGGCGTTCCTCTACCTACAGCTTCACCTAACAAAGGGGTGGGGAATGCCCTGGCCGCGAATGATCAGGCTAGAAAGGGGTGTGCCACTGGCAGTTTGTTGTGGGCTTGGGTGATCTTACATCAAACACTATTCAGATGAAGCTGCCATAGACTTAATATACCAACAAAAGGACCTGAATGGGAGATTCTTTTGTCCAAAAACTGCATAGAGTTGTGTATGTAGTTATCGCAGAGCCAACTCAATTACTGATTTATGATATGGAGGTTCAGAACATTCCCCAAATGCTTGGATCTAACAGCTATAAGGGCATGCTTTAAAGAAAAATTGCAAGTCACCAAAATACCTATTTTTAAACAAATATATTTTTCCACAGGGGTCCCAGAAGAAATAAAAGAAACATCTGGCCGTGGAATTAGGAAAGAGGACTTGTCAATATGGATCTTGCCAACAACAGAGGCTTGAACCTCATGCTAAACTTTGGTTTGATCTTCTTGGTGCTGCTGCTGATGTTCATTCTGGTAAAACTCATGTGAGAGTCAGAAAAGGACCCTTGGAACCCTTTGATTACAATGTGACATCTACCAGCAATCTACCACCAAGAGTATTACCCATCTGGGAGTGAAACATGAGCTGCCGCTGTGGGACAATCCTTAGGTCATGACCGCCAAGACCCCAATAGACTTCTGACCATCAAATCAATGTTAATGAACAAATGCACTTAGACATACACATGTCTTAGAAGACTAGCTGAAGATGAATTCGGTCTCCAAGTGTCAGTACAACCTAAAACTATACAGTCAGGATGAGCTCTGTACTACCAGATATACTGTATTGACCTAGTACCAAGAAGCAGCACTGTGGATTACAGTATTGAGTACAGCAATGTGATGTAAATACTATTGCGAGTCATACATAAGTCAATGCATGCTACTGCACATAAACATATCAACCAATTCCATATACAATTATTAAATCAGCACAACATGAAAATATCCTGAAACAATGCTGAATACCTGAATGTAGAACCTTCTAAATCCACTGTCTTCTGATACTAATACCACTGATTTAAGTTTAGTGTCACCCTCTTAGATCAAACCTATTTGGCCACTAGTGAGCACTAGGGCTACTACATATAAAGATACACTCGCACATGTTTGTAGAGTTCATGTGTACTTGCACTTTTCTATAGTATTTTTCCTCTCTTTTTTTTAATTTAATGTATGTGAAACACAAAAATCAAATAATAAAAATGTAATACGTAGAAAAAGCAGCTTAGATTTGTGATCCTTTCTTATAACAATATAGCCAACAGTGTATTGTTGTGTGCAACTCTACATTCAGTCCACTTAGATGATACTCAGTTTTTTTTTTATTCAACAGGCTGTCCAAAAAACAGGCTATTAAATGTCAGTAATTACATAGCAGAACAGTTACATCACATTACTTCTCTGCCGCCAAGTACCAAAATAGCAGAAAACAAAGCATACGCCATTTTCCGAACCTGAAGAAGCGTAATACCTAATGTCACTCCCACGAATATGGTAAGGCTGGAAAACGTGACAAGGTGAAAGCATGCAAATTCAACTTAGATCCTGTACCTGGTGGTAACGTAACCTCTTACCCAGAGGCGTAACTAGTGACCTCAGGGCCCCGGTGCAAGAATCCATGAAGCCCCCCCAACCCAAGAAAAAGATTAGATACTTAAAAAAAAAAGTCAAAACAAACCCCTCCTCTTCCATGTCCCCAGCTTCTACCCTTCTCGTCCCCAGCTTTCAGCTCCCTGACCCCACACTCTCCTCTCACATGTCCCCTTCATCATAATCTCAGCTCTCTATAACTCCCTCCTCGTGTCAGCAGCACACCTCTGACACCCAGGGAGTTGGAGCTTTCCATAGAACACAGGCAGTTCTACGGTCGGCAGCAGTTCTGTGTGATGAGGGGGCGGGGATAACCCGCTTCCCACTCATTGGCTGCTGCGCCGGCTCGATCATTCTTCACGCTGCGCCTGGAACAAGGTGAGGGGGAGCAGCGTGAAGCATGCAGGGCTGATAATATCAGGGGGCTGATATTAGCGGTTACTGGGATATTAAATATCCTGGTAATCAGTGGTTTCTACAGGCCCCGTCCTCCTGTCCTGGGCCCCCTCTAAGTGGTGGAACGCCAGTGCCCAGTCGCAGCCGCGCCCTCTGCGACCCTGGTAGTTCCGCCACTGCTCTTACCCCAGGGCCACACTGCTAACATGGTTGTTGGTCACAGTATTGCAGTATATAGCATACGCAGTAACTTGCCATTCAATCATATGGAGAGTTTCTTCTCCAAACTCCAGCAACGTATAAACAGTCCATAGGATTAAATTGAGAGTGTACAAAACAAGTGCGGGCCCAGCTCAGAAGATTGCGACAAGCAGCTCAGCAGCTTTGTGGACAACATCTCACTTGATTGGCGGCAGGTGAGCATAAGACCTGAAGAGAGGAAATGAGGCCGGGTACAGTACAATATGAGTATAATGCAAATAATCTAATCAATATTTGTAAATGAATACAATCCTTGTATAGTTAGTGAATATGCACATGGGGGTTGACACGTTTGTTCATCACAATGGTACCTTGCTGATCCAGCCTGCAAGTCTACTAGGTGGGGTCTGCCTTGTGACGGACCCCCGTACTCAGGATGAGTATGTCCGCCGCTGTCTTCTTCCTTGCTGAGGAGATATTGGAACCCGCTGATCTGTAGCTCCCAGTTTCCCCAGTCACTAGCCAAGGCTTGAGTGTAGGGTAAACAAACTCTGATTTATTGAGCAACTGCACAAACTTATATACAGCAAGTGATGAAATCAGAATATAATCCCATCACATCCACCTCCCCTCCTCCCAGACCATCGGTCTGCTCAACACCACAGGTGTCCACCTGCTAACGAACTCCAGACAGCCATAGCAGGAGCCTGGCCGGAATGTCATTGTTCTGAGCTCCCTCAGAGAACAATGGGAGATAACGAGGGATGGTGCTGATAGTCTTTCCATAACCAGGTCACACAGCATAACGCACTCAAACATAACCCCACACCAATACACATTTAACTTATAAACTGATCACCATGTCGTCACATGCCTGTTTGATAACAGGATCTTTGCAAAATTTACTGACATGAAACCCCCACAATGCTACTGGTAGCAAGAGACAATGTGATCTTTGCCTAGGCTTTAGCTTACACAAGCTTGGTTGGGAGCAGCAGTGTTTTTCATGCCCAGTAAAATGTACTTTTCATACATTGAATAATAAAGTAATGATGTCCTCTGGTTAAGCTGACATCTGCCCTGCTGATGCATGTGAATGTGTAAGTTCCTTCAAATTCAGCTACTCATAGCATGATATTAAAATCTCCTGTGCAGTTTAGCACATAGCTGGTAGCACTAAAACAAATGATCTGGGTACTTGCAGGACAACATTAATGTGACTGACACATAGAATTGCTGCATTAGAGTAATTACACATGAAAAAGGGAGCTGCTATTATTGCTATGGCTTTATAAATAATTCACAGTTCAGGGATTCGGAAATATTTGCGATGAATTATAGAATCCTAATAGGGTAAGAATGATGCAGATGGCATTAAAGATGCCCATATACATTCAAACTGGTTTGCCCGCTGGCCACGGTTTCTAAGGCAGCTGTTGCCTTTCATTGCCCTTAATTTCACTCAGTGTCATGAAAATGCTTTAGTGGCCACAGAGAAAGAGCTAAGCAGGTGGGGACTGAAGTAGAAATGTACTGCACAGTAATGCTCCGTTGTTTATTCTACTATCTAAAACTCCAAATTTATTGGAAAAGTCCACTTTTACTACAAAATTAATGCAACATGCACGATTGTGCCACAATCCAATTAGGTATTTAAAGCCTACCTCTGGGGAAAACAAAAAAAAACCTCTCCATGCAGCGGGGCTGCCCCTGCATTGAAAAAGTTAAAGTAGAACTATGGGGAAAACCTTTTTTTGTCCATAGTTCTCTTCAGGGTCTCAGCATATTGCCCACTATATGCTGAGAGTGCAGGGCCGCTCCACAGCCGAGATGGATCCCAAAAATGCTGTCAAGGTCTACCCCGCTGGCTGATTGACCCGCCCCCTCCCCCGTACTTTCCTCCAGTCAATGTTGGAGAAACAGAGAGAGGGGAGCGGTGACTGACACTCACTACTCTCTGCAGGGAGAGGATCGGGAAGTCAGCAATTAAGAGAGCCGACCTGCGACAGCGTCTTTGTCACAGGTCGACTTGAATTATGGGGATGAGTGTTTTTCATGCACCCCATAATTCTCCTTTAACTGCTCGTTAATGTCTAAGGCACCTGTGTAAAGGACCTACCTGATCCCCACTCCCTTAGCAGTCGCTGCTTTCCTCGTCTCTCCTACACTCAGGCTTGTGGGCTGTCCCCTTGGAACCCCACATATAATGCAGGGCTATGGGCCCTGCAATGTACGAGATGAAGACAATGGGCCTCCAACTGCTGGAGAGGAGGAGAGAAAGAGTCTGTTGGGTCTGGGATCAGGTGAGTAAAAGTCCTTTATACAGGTGCCCCGGGCAAACACGAGCAGTTAACCCAGGGGTGGACGAATTAATGTGGAATTCAGGAGCCACTCTGTCCAATTCAGGAGCCAGCAGGCCAGCACCATTGACAAAAATTAGAGAAATCCTCAAATGTTAAGTGCCAGCTGTAATTTTAAGGAGCATTGGCTACCTGGCTCCAGGGATTTTTCCAGCCCCGAGTTAACCTTTCCCCCCCCCCCCCATTTTTCCACCACGAATTATCATTTACCCCCCCCCCCTGGATAAGCTTTAATGCCATTAACAATACTTTTCTCAGTCTATAACCAGATATAAGGTCACTACCTTGAAATTATAGAAATAATGGCCATTGTGCGATGTCCCTTCCTTGCAGTTATGGAAATCCTGTTTTCTGCTACTGTGACTGGCAAGAGTTGGAGGCTAAATATCAGGCATTCTTGCACCCTTCTGCAGTAAGCCTTGCATCTTTGGTGATATACTGTCCATGTGAATCGCACGTCTACCGTACAGGAATGCTGAGATTCCGGGTGTTTCTTACAGCACTAGTGCCAACCATGTGATTATAGCAAGCAAACCCACCTTGTGGCAATATGCGAGTGCCTGTCCTAAGGCCTCATTCACACGGGCTTTCAGCAGCCGCTTGTGGAAAGACTCTGTGGATTCTTGCGGCTGGAATGACAGCAGGTTCTGGACAGCTGCGGTTGTCAACCTGTACAAAGCAACGACCGGCTGAATAGAGCCGCAGCTTTCCGCCGCTGTTCATATGTATCCGCACAACTTGCGATTACGTGCGACTAGGGACAGATGACCAGCCCTGTACGTAGACAATTCATGCCACATATGGGCACTAAAGGCCCGCGTGAATGAAGCCCAAGTAGAGCAGACACTTGTAATAATTTACATTAAAGTATTGCAGTGTATATAACGAGCCCTGGAGAGTTTAGCTTTTTCCCTGAACAAAAGTGGAGTTTCTCTTTAAGAGGCAGAC